ACTAAAACAAGTTGAGTGTATTAATGCATGCATTGTGCGTACATGCGGAGAACTCGATGATGAGTAACTCAAATGAGTGATTAGAATTTGGGCTTAAAAAAAAATTAAAAAAAGGAAGCATTATAACCCCCTAACATCAAACTGGGACACCTACTCACTAAGTACTGTGAAATCAGGATTTTGGTGAAGGAGGAAGCTGAGAACTGACATGTTTTCTTGAAGCTCGAGACTTTATTAAACATGTCATAGTTATGAAAGGCTTACCCAGCAGTCCCTTGATTCGATTGAAGAGGGCTGCAGGTGGCTCAGGAGGATGGAGAATGTCTCCAGAGAGCCTCGAGGTTAATAACAGAATGGCAGGGAAGATGGAGCTGGAGGAGAATCAGGCAGGATACACCAGAGGAGACTGCTGGAGGTGAAGCATGATGAAGGAAATTGTCTTAGCCCCAGCTGCTGTAACAAAATACCATAGACTGGGTAGCTGAAACAACAGACATTTATTTCCTCACCGCTCTGGAGACTCGAAGTCTGAGATCAGGATGCTGGCAGTTTCTGGTGAACTCTTTCTTCCTGCAGTGTAAGTAGCTGCCATCTTGCTGTGTACTCACATGACATCTTCTTCATGTGGGTGCAGAGAGTTCACTCTCTAGTGTCTCTTAAGGGACACCATTCCTGTCATATCAAAGCCACACCCTTATGACTTCATCTAACTTTCATTACCTCTGTATAGGCCCTGTCTCCAAATAAAAGGACCACTGAAGGTTAAAGCTTCCACATATGAATTTTGGAGGTGACAGGGGCACAATTCAATCCACAGCACAAGGTGAAAAAGCATCCAAAGCAAAGGAAGTGTAACTGATGGGGATTTCTGTGAGCCCCAGCCCAGAGGAAGGAATTTACTTAATAATAAGCTATTCAAGACAGCAAATATCAATGAAAATTGCAGATTGCCCCCACTGACTCCTCATCACACACTATGTTTCAGCAGATAACAAGCCCCACTAAAGAAGACTCATAATCAGAAAAGACCCAGAAGGGGACTGCTCCGGGCCAGGTTCTCTAGAAGCAGAGCCTCAGACAAGGATTCTTTGAAGAGTGATTTCTTGAGGGAGTGGTCTCAGGAGGAACTTCTAAGGAAGTGAGAGAAGCAAGAGCAGGCAGAGGGAAAAATTAAACACATGGCTTCAGCTGAAGTCTAGCCTCAGCCTGATCCCATAGGGAGCTCTGGAGCATGACTGGCACCAGAGAAGTAGACTGCCCCACCTTGCAGCAAGGGAGCAGGCTTTGGAATTTCAAATCTATCAGTCATTGGCTGTGGGCCACCCTCAGGTGGAGGACATAATATCAAGAGGGCACATTCTCAGGAAAGAGTGTATCTGTGAGCCATTAGCAGCCAACACTCACAGCAGCTGACGGATGAGTGTAATGACTTGGTAAAAGGCATCTGGGCAGAGCACCAACACCACCTACCATAGCAGTGGTTGTCAAAGTGTGGTTCCTGGGACAGCAGCATCAGCCTCACCTGAGACCTTGTTAGTCATGCAAATTCCCTAGCTCAACCCCAGATCTATTTGAATTGTAAACTCTGGAGATGAGACCCAAGAACCTGTGTTGCAGCAAGCCCTTCAGGCGATTTTGTTGCATGCCCAAGTTTGAGAACCATTCAACTTCACTGGCCTATATGACTAGCAACTGTAAAAACAAAAGGATTGGAATTGAGTCCAAACCTCTTGCAGTCCCCTCCACATAGTCCTTTTTCCACCTCTGCCCATGTTGTTATCCCCACTTGAAATGCCCATCTCCCTTCCCATCTCCTCCAGGCCCCCATCCCAAATTATGGAAGTACTGGGCATCTTTGAAGACCAAGCCCAGATGCCACCAGCTCCATAAAGCGTTGGATTCGCCCAGCGCAGAGGATTGCTGTCTCCTCGGTGCCCTCTGAGCATTTAGTCTTCACCACGCTCTAACATACATTCCACCTTGAGTTGTGATTATTGGAGCGTATGTCTGGTCCCCTGTGAGATTAAGCTGCTGGACAACAGCTGTTCCTTATCCATCTTTGCATAACTCTGCACCCAGAAAAGAATCTGCTCAATGTTTGATGCAATAAGTTGAAAAAAATCAAATTGGAAAGCCCGAGATCCATTTTTATCATTCTGAAAAACTCCTCAGTTCCAGCTACTATTATTTGTTGAAAACTGGGAGATTTCTGTGCATTTATAGACATGAATTGGAGGACCATCGGAGAAGTGACTCAGAAGAGCATTGCCTTGTATGCTGTCTCCTTTTGTGGAACTTAGTACTTAGGAGGGACAGTGAGTGCTCATTTGTGTTTCAGCCCCGTCATTCTCACAGCTCATTTTCAGTATAGCCTCACAAACTCAATGCCTGTATTGGTTATCAGTTGCTTGGGCAGGATGGAGAAATTTTCTTCAGTGTCCCTGTTGTCTTGTCTTCCTTCCACTCCTACCCCCAAAAAGAGGGCCCGAGGAAGCAGTTGTGGGACAATAATGATGGTAATAATAATGGCCAACACTTCCATGACACTTCCAAGTCAGGCACAGTTCTGAGTGCTCTACTCATGAATCCTCTAGAGAGTAGGCACACTATTTTATAGGTCAAGATACCAAGGCAGCTTAAGCAAAGTCGCCCAGTTGGCAGGAACAGAGTTAGGACTCTGGCCTTGAAGTTAGAGGTCCGGTTTGAATCTCAGCTTGTTACTTACTAGTTCTGAGAAGTTATGCAAGTTACTTAACGCTCTGAGCCTTGATTTCCTTATCTGTAAAATGGGGATAATCATCTCCTTTTTGAGTTATTGAGAGATTAAATGAGATAATATATCTGAAAATTACTGTGCCTGGTAGATGATTAATAATAACTTTTTTTTTTTAACAGAGTCTTACTCTGTCACCCAGGTCAGAGTACAGTGGCTCCATCTTGGTGCACTGCAACCTCCACCTCCTGGGTTCAAGTGATTCTTCTGCCTCAGCCTCCCGCAATAATAACTATTCTTAAAAGAGTAAAATGACAACATTAATAATATTAACATTGTAGCAACTAAAGTAGAGCTAAAGAGAATATGTTCTCTTGCTAGCGAAAGGCCTTTCATTTTTATGTCATGTTGTAAAGGTAATTTGATTCCAATGTGAAAATTATTTCACTCTAGCAGGAGTTCATAAGATAAAACCACATTTAACATGTAACGTAGAGCCTGAATGTTCTTCCCCACGAATGAGGCTCTTCCAGCAAATGGTATTTTTGCTGGTCAGATTACACTGGGCCGATACAAATTGGAAAAGAAAATATTGAGATCACACTGAAGCCATCCAAAATAGCCTGATATGTTTTAATCATTCTGTTATTAGCTTGCTGCATCTTATAACATTTTCTTTTGAATCAAGTCACAGCCGTGTATACTTTAGGCTGTGGCCATCATAAACAAATATGTAAAGACACAGAGTTAAAACAGATGAATAACAATGGTTATCCATTAGTTTGATGTAATCTAACACAAATGACCATTAAGAGACTTACGAAGAAATCGGAGAAACAGAATTTCACGTAGGAGCTTCTGCGTAACTGAATGCCAGCATTGCTGGTGCCTGTTGTTTGGTTTGGTCAAGGTTATGCTTTTGGGAAGCCAACCCTCCCTTAGAGGTGAATCTGTTGAAAAGTGAGGCTAGTGGAAGATTTCAGGGTACAGGGAGCTAGATTTCTATAAAATATATTTGAAGATGGTAAAGCGAGTACTCTCCTCTTCTCTTCCCTGGTAAAATTAGAGATGTGTTACCATGGAAACCTACCCATCATCACCACCAGCATAGACAGGTTTAAATCTTTTGGCAAGGAGAGGATGACTGCCTCCTCCTGTTTCTAATCCCTCCTCTTCCAACTCCTCATCTCTTCCTGACAACGGGAATTCTTCCCATACTTGGTTCTAAAAACCAATTTAGTGTCTTAAGTGATCAATTCCATAAATTCAAACTGGATAAAATGAATTTCCCTAGTAGAAGGAATGCCAGCTTGAATGACGTGGTATCAGAGTGGCTGGAGAGAGACACCGTACCTTAGAAGTGTGCCTGTGGAGTGCGACTGCTCTCTCAAAGACAGTGTGCAATGAATGTGGTCTCCACGGTGGGAGCAGTGTGAAGCTGTACTTTCCTCAACAGGAAACTGGCCTGAACAGCTCGAGTGTTGCGTCATCTTCTGATGATAACAGTTTGTCCTGATTGGGTGCTGTGACCTGTATTCTGCAGCTGGGAGTTGTTTGCTTAGGTTAGAAAAATCTGAGCTAGTGATTCAGTTAGGGACACAGGTCGAAGGTAAAAGCCAGCTGGGTCTCAGGGAGAGGCAAGCCTTGAGAAGCCCTCCTGTTGGTCACCTAGAATTGAGGTATCGTCCAGATTAACTATGGAGTTTTTCCAGAACATCACGAACTTCCTCTGGATTGTAGTTCCAAGGGCCGGATTTACCCTGCAAGAGAAATCAATCAGGCATTCCCAGATTTCCAACTTGTAAGGGACATGTAGGTCTGGAGCTTAGTTGCAAGATCTGGTCAAATGATGTCTATGTGGGTGTCGTCAGCATGACTAATTCAATGGCAGTTGCAGCTGTGAGGTGGGTGAAAAAGTGTCTACAGTGCCATCAGCAGTTAACAGGAAGGCTGGACAGAGAAGTAGGAGGAAAACTAAAGGACGCAAAGTGACACAGACTTTCAGAAAGAGAAGGGGCCTATACAATAAGGTTTTCTTCCATCATCAGACCTTCAGACTGGCCTAAGCTTCCTTTCCAGCCTCACATCAAGTTCTACCCATCCTACCTCAGCCATCTCTGCCTCTCCAGTTCTACTGCCCTAGGTCTGCCCTTTTCATCCACAGCTTAGGCAGCTGTCACCCTCACACTTATCCCCAGTCCTTACCCTGCTGCCTCCAGTCCATTTTTCATCCAGGAACCAGTGAACTTTCTTCACTGCAACCTCCGCCTTCCGGCCTCAAGTGATTCTCATGCCTCAGCCTCCTGAGTAGCTGGGATTACAGGTGCACACCACCATGCCTGCCTAATTTTTGTATTTTTAGTAGAGATGGGGTTTTGCCACATGGGCCAGGCTAGTCTCGAACTCCTGGCCTCAAGTGATCTGCCTGCCTTGGCCTCCCAAAGTGCCAGGATTATAGGCGTGAGCCACCATGCCTGGCCATTGGAACCAGTGAACTTTCTTTTGTTGTTGTTGTTGTATTTTGTTTTGAGACAGAGTCTCGCTCTGTTGCCCAGGCTGGAGAGCAGTGGCACAATCTTTGCTCACTGCAGCCTTTGCCTCCTCAGCCTCCCAAAGTGCTGGGATTACAGGCATGAGCCACCGCACCTGGCCGAACCAGTGAACTTTCTAAATACAGGTATGATCATGCCTCTTTCTTGCTCCAAACCCATCAGTGACTCTCTGTTGTGTTAAGATGAAGGCCAAACCCCTTGGTCCAGAATGAGACCCCTGCAACCCCAGTGTCCCCATCCTTTATTCATGCTCTGCCCTACGATGCCTCAGTGCCTCTGCCCACCCTCTTCCCTATGCTGCAGTGATTTTTCACTCACCGTGCTCACTTGGCCAACTCCTTATCCTTCAAGGCCCAAGCAATTGCTGCCTCCTCTGAGAAGCCTACCCTTCCCCAGAGGTTGAAAAATGTGCAGCCTGAGAGCCAGGTCGGAGCCGATGCCTCACATGCTTTCATTTGCATGCTGTCTGCAGCTGCTGTTGTGCTATAACAGCAGAACTGAATTGTTGCGACAGGGATGACTTGGCACAAAGTCGAAAATATTTACTTTCCAGCCCCATACCGAAAAGGCGTGCTGACCCCTGCTCTGGAGTCCCACAGCAGTTGGGACACTGTACCAGTCTTATTTGGGTCTTCCTTATCCCTCAGCCTGTGAGTACCTTGAAGTAAGATGTGGGTCATTTTTAATTCACTTTCGTGTTTCTGGTGTTTGCACAGGGCCTAATCCAAGGTAGGGACTCAGTGCCCAGCTTGCCTCAGTCATGCCTGAACCATGTCTCAGGGTACAGGGAAGGATGAAGGACCTGAATTCTTCTGTGACCTTTGCACCATGGGGAATTTACCTGCAAGTTTTCACTTGTTTCATCTGAATAAGTAGGGTCAGCTTGATCTTGATCTATGGACAGAAGAACATCCGCATACTTGATTGCATCTGCTCCCCAAGGCTGGAAATCCCTTCAGTAGCTTTAAGATGTAGTTTCTACCTTCTCAAGGGAGGTCAAGACAACTGTGTCTAAAGGGTCAGAGGCTGTGCACTTACCTCCCTCACCCTGACCAGGCTGGAATCTTTTTTCTTTTTGAGATGGGGTCTCACTCTGTCACCAGGCTGGAGTGCAGTGGCGCGATCTCCGCTCACTGCAACCTCCGACTCCTGGGTTCGAGGGATTCTCCTGCCTCAGCTTCCCAAGTAGCTGGGACTATAGGTGATGCCACCATACCGAGCTAATTTTTTGTATTTTTAGTAGACGGGGTTTCACCATGTTGGCCAGGATGGTCTCGATTTTTTGACCTCATTATCTACCTGCAT